TGTTTTAATTAATTGAATTAGGAAATAAATTCAATCAAATGGAAAATTAAAACAATGATATAACAGTTTTATTACTATATCTACATATGTATAAAAATTAGGCCCCAGTATATGATAACATTATAATATGTATAGATAGGTATGTTCCATTTAATAACAGAAATAGCGAGCTTCATTAAACAATTCCTAGCCACATATCATTAAAATATTGTTATACATAAAATAATTTAAAAAAAATGATACGATTACATACTTAACATTTAAAATTTATCATTTACATAGATATATACATATCAGAAATTCATTTTAAAAGGATAATTCATCAATATTTGAGAAAATTTATAAAAAAATCATCCATTTGTGTTCACAATTTTTAAAAAGTTTAATTTTGAAAATAATTTTAATTTTAATTGAAATTTTACAAAATAATTAAAGAATCTCTGAAAAAATAATGAAAATTTTAATTATATTGTCATTAACATACAAATATCATGCATATATATACATCCAACTGTAACATTTGCAATAACATTAAAAATTATAACATAACAACAATTTCAACTACTGTTAAAAAGAAAAAACACCTAACCGTACTACAAAAATACAATACCACAAAAGAAGAGAAACACAATAAAAAAAAAAGAGAGGAAACAAAAATGTAGTTTTAAAAAGTTCAATGTACTTTTAATTCCATAACGTGTAGTAAAAGTGAAAGTAGTAAATCAATGTAGTTGCTTACCTTTCTTATATTAAAAAAAAAAGAAAAATCAAAAAGAGATAAACGAAGAAAACAATAGAAGGGAACGGGGAAATCAACAATTTTATTTTTTTTCCTCTGTTTTTTTTTTTATATCCATAATTGGTTGGTTTTGTTATTTCTATTGTTATATTTGTTATTTTTCCCATCCACGATTCGGTAAAAAAAAAAAAAATTTCTATGCAAGACGAAGAGGTCTTTGCACTCTACTCGACAACAAAACAAGAAACAAAAAAAAAGAAGTTATACTGCTTTTCTTATTTTCGTTTTGTTTTGTTATTCTTCTTCTTTTTTATATTTCTTTGTTGATGACGATGTTATTGCTGTTATTTTCATTTGTCTTTTTTTTTTGTCTGTTTTCTTGTTTCTTTTCGGTTTCTGAATATTATTTCCGTTTTTTTCTTTTTGCTTGTTTTTATGTGTGCAAAGGTAACTTAACAGTTAAAGTGTTAAATTTTCTTGATGAACATCTGTAAAATGAAATTTCCTCGTTTTGTTTCTCATTAATGCTTTCTTTTCCTTTTTTTTTTTAGTTGTTGTTTTTGAATAGAAATTTCGAGAAATTTTTGAATTGTGAATGATTTTCTGTTCCAAAAAAATTTTGTACGTACATATATACATGTATTTTTGAAAATAGTTCCATATCTACTAATTGTTGAAGTTATTTTTTTGGAAAGTTTTTGAAATTTTCCCTCTTAAAGTTAAGTTGATAATTTAGAGAAAAGTTAAGAAATTTAAGATATGAAAATTCAAATCATAAAATATCTCAAAATGTCATAATTTTTTTAGGGAATAAAGGCAAATTATAAAGAGAAAATAAAAGTTTTATTAATATTATGAAAAAATAAAAACAGATGGAAAATTTAAAGAGATGCTTTAGACATTTTGTATAAGAAAACAGCATTTCTCTAAAATATTTAAAATATCATAAATAAGCGTTTAAAGGTATTTGTATAAAATACAAATTTTAATTTTATACTAATTCTTAATATCAAATACAATATCTTTATTTTTTTGAAAAAATTTCAATCCCATTTTTTTATTAATTTCATAAAATTACCATATTACATCTAATACTTTAATTTTACACTCCTTTTTTCGTATTTACCGTAATTAAAACACTAGGTATTATAATAACGAATTAATTTTCACATATCTTTCTTATTAACTAATAAACGAATTGTAACAGTAGTGGAACTATTAAAAATATTATTTTCATATGATTCAAAGCTTTAAATTTAAAACTATTAAAAGTTTTTATTGATTTCTAAAAAGCTTTAAAAAATTCACAAAAAAAAACAACTTCATTTAAGTTGAATATTTCCAGTTCTCTTTAAAATTAATTTTATTTAAAACTTCCAAAATATTCCAAAGCTTTTTTTTCTCTTAAAATTTTTATTTTTTCTCTTAAAAAAAAAACTTTGAATTCTCTTAAATTTTCATATTAATGTTCTCTTAAATTTGTTTTAACAAAGCTTTAAGTTATTAAACATAATGTAATAATGTGCAGTAGTGGAACTGTAAAAGCAAAATCAATTTTTATTGAATTAATTTTATTTGTAAATTTAATTAAAAGTGATATTGAAATTTAATTTTACAAAATTTTATAATTATAAAATATGTAATTTCCTTATTTATATTCTCATATTGTAGGAAAAAACATATAAAGAATATTAAATTTATTGTTTATTTAAATCAACAAGCTAAATGAAAACAAACAATTCCTCGGTTTTCTAACTAATGAAAATATTCTCTTATTTGAAGAGAACTTTTATATAAAATCATTAATTCTAAAGAGATATCAAAAAATATATAAACTTATTATTATTGAAATGCTCTTACTTAGATTTTGTTAAGTTATATCTCTTATTTTATTCTCTGTAATTTAGAGTGAAAAAAAACTTCTCTTTCTTATATATAGAATTAAAATTTCTCTTCAAATAAATATATGGTGTGAGAGGAAGAAAAATAATGGAACGAAATGATAAAAAAAGCTTTAAAAGAGAAAAATAACACAATTATGTACAATCAAAATTCTCAGTAAATATCCACCATTTTTCTATTAGTCTACAACAAAATGGTATATAAGATAAATTAGAAATTAAAAAGAATTATAATAACTAGTATACAAAATTACTAATATTCATGATTGTTTTTATTTTTTTCTCTCAAAATTTATTGAAAAATCAAAAAGAAAAACATAAAAGAGTAAAAGAAAACAAACTTCTTACCACGCTATTTTTCACTGTTTTGTTTTTGTTGTTAGAAACAGAAAAGCCATTTTTGTATTTTCTCTGTTTATGTATTTTTTTCTCAGATTATACACTACTACACTAATCCATTTACAATCAGAAAAATGTATATAACATTTTTTTTTATATAAAAATTATTTCTCTACTTTATTTTTGTATTATTATTATTCTTCAATATTCAATTCTTCGTGCTTTCGTTTCGTTCAATATTATTTAGTTTAGTTTATATATTTATTTGCTTCAGGTTCAATTCTTTAATATATATATATATATATATATATATATATATATATAAGAGTTATATTACGAATTACGGTTGAAGTATACAAAATATTGTACAATATTAAAAACGTCGTAGTATATAATAATAATAGTGTATATGTATGTATAATAGTATGTATTATACGAAGAAGAGTATTATAGAAATAAAACGATAAAATTTTTACAGTTAGTCGCGTTTGAGACCTTGTCGAGTTTTGTCGCATTTTTCGCTTTGATAAATGATTGATTATTTAAAAAAAAAAATTAAAATAATTTTTTTTTTTAAATTAATATTATAAAATAAAAATTATATTTAAAATAAATAAAAAAAAAATATTTTAAATTATATTGAAAGCGGGAAAAGAATTTTTTTTTGTAAATTAATTAAATAAAAATAATTTATACATAAAAAATATTCAAAAGGAAAATTTTTAATAAATCAAAAAAGGATAAAAAAATTTTTTTTTTTCTAAAACTTGGCGCGAAATTTCTGCAATTCAATTGGAAGAAAAAAATAACAATATTAAATAAAATTAAAAGGAAAATTTTTAAGTGTAAAATTTCAAATACAAACAAAAATTTATTAAAAAAATTATATATATATTTTATTACCGGTTAAAAATACCAATATTATTCGTACATAAATATTAAAAAAATTCTATATTGATGTTTTAAATGTTGCAATAACAAAAAAAAAAATAAATATATATTTATATATTAATCATCTACTATACTACACGTATTTATGTATATATGTTGTAAATTAAATGTTTTAAATTAAATAACAAAAATAAAAAACATTTTATTAATAAAGGAAATTTAAAATAATTTATATGAATAAATTATTGAAAATAGTGAAATAAAAATTAAAATTAAAATTAATAAATCAAAAGTACCTGTAAAATATAAAATTTATAAAATTTTATACATATATATATATTTTTAATATAAATGTAAATAAAAATATCCTATAAAATAGCCTACAACATATTATTATTAAAATATAATTAACAAGAATCTACTTTTCATATAAATTTTGGATTTATAATTGCTTCATATTAATTAATATTTGTAATTAATATAAAAATAACTTAAAGTTTAAAAAAAAAAAAAAAAAATTGTAAATTTACAAAGAAAAGTCATACAAGTTCCTGAATTTTACAAAAAGATAAAAAAAAAAGAAAATTACATGTAAATAAAGAGAAAAGTGTGTAAATCAGAAGCAGAAAAAAAATTTTGTTTTTTATTTATTTAATATTATAAAACAAAAATTAATAAAATAAAAAAAAAAATTATATTTCTCAAATAATATTTTATAAATTTGAAAGCTTATTACCAATACTTTAATCTACACTACATTATTTAAAAATCTTAAAATCAAAAATCTAAATGTTTGTATATTAAAGAAAATTTTCCAATATTATACAATTAAAACAAAAAAAAGAAAGTTATATAGGAATTTATACGCAAATATTAATGGTTTATATAAAAGTGGAGAAAAAATTTTTACCATATAAAAATCATTAAATATTTTTTTTTTAAAAAGAATTAAAAAATCAAAGCAAATTTATATAATTATATATTAAATGAATTCAAGAGATAATTCTGTGATATATAATTTTGAAAGGAGAAAATTAATATATATACTAACAATAATTTATAATTATAACAATAATAATATAAATAATAATTAATGAAACCTTTTTTTTTTTGGAATAACAAAAGGATAATAGAAATACATAGTATTCAATATTAAATTGAAATCAATTTGAAAAAAAAATCCATACCAAAAAAAAAATTTAATATAGTAATAAGGAATTTTAAATGCAAAAAAATTTATAATTATAAATATATTTTTATGTAATCATCTACCTATACATACATATACAAATAACTTAAAAAATAATACAATATTTTTTTTTGATAAATCAAAAATGTAAACCCCAACAATATAATTGTAAAGGGAAAATTATTTTAATGAAAAGAACCTAACCGGAGGATTATAATCAATATACAAAGACATATAAAATACAAAGATTATAAATAAAAATCATTTGCATACTTACTAAATATTTAATAATTTGTAATACGTCAAATCCTTGCCCATTTTTTGTTTGGATTATATTAAAACTATTTACATACATAATTTAATATTTATATGAATTTTAAATATTAAATAAAAATATAAGAAAAAAATTAAAAATAAATCAAGAAAAAAAACACAAAATTCAAAATGAGTGAGGAACTACCAATATTAAAAGCAATTCTTAAGGGAAATGTTAATTATCATAATGCACGTATGTATATATATAATAGCTAAAAATTGTAATACTATATGTATTATAACAAATGCAATTACATATATTATGGAAAAATTGCGATTAATTTAAGTGAAATTAAAAATAAATAATAATAATTTTTTTTTTTGATAGCTGGACGGGTTGAATTTAACAAAGATTTTAATGAATAATTGAATACAATACTTAGGTCTATATTGATTCTATACTCCATCTGGATGCTCAATGACAAATATATACTTTTAATATTCTTGTTAATTATATTCCAAACCAATTTATAAAAACATATTACTCTTATTATTTAGAGAAAAATCTGCTTTCTCTTTCAATAACAAATTTCATTTATATATTATTTTACTGGTATACAATATTGTAAATAACTGTCGCCATCAACAATTTTACTGTCACAATCAATATTTTACCAATACAATTCGATATTATTTCTTAAAAGTAGCAATGCAACAGTAAAATTTAATTAATAAAAGTATTATCAACTGTTTTTACCTTTATTTCAAAGGGGCCTTCAAAAACACATACACTTAATTAGAAAATATTGCAATGAAATAGATTTTTTCAAAAAAAAAAACATTTAAAATATTTATTTTTAATTTTATAAAATTTTCATAGATTAATTTTATAATAGCAATCAGTTATTTTCTCATTGTGTGTACACACGTTTTTCTTTTTCTAAATGGCATGCAGACAAAATAAAATCATTTTCGCAAAAAAAAAAAAAAAAAACAGAAATAAGAAAAAAACAGCAAAACAAAATCAAAATAAAAGTTGGTTATGGTTTTTTTTTTTTTTTTGTTGCCTATGTCTCTATCTCTTTTTCACTTTTTCACTGAATTTTCCATTTCTTTCTTTCTTTTTCTTTTTTGTTAGACTTTAGTTTTTTTTTTCATTTTTCATTTCATTTCGTGTTATAGTTACTTTGTAGGTCATGACCTCTTAGACTATTTTTAATATGTTTGAACATTTTCACATTTAAATTTATTTATATAAGTAAGAATGTTTGTATGTATGTATGTTTGCAAATATTGTACTTAGAAATAAATTTTCTATATGTACATTATGTACATTTCAATATATATATACGAATATATAGAAATAAGTATATTTTCTATAATGAAAATTTTTATCTAATTTTTACACCAATCAACCAACCAAGCATTCCTATATATGTACGCGATACAATATTTAATATTGTTACTTTGAAAATTCAAAAGCGAGAGATAGAGAGAGAGAGCGAGAAAGAAAAGGTTTTTCACTTAATTTCATTTTTGCAATAGAAAATGTGGTGAAATTTTTTTTGTTGTTCTTGATTTTTGAGGATGTTTTTTTTTTTTTTGAAATTAAAAGAAAAAAGTAGATATGCGCATATAAGAGTTTAACATTTGGACCTATCCAATAAAATGTTTAATAGCTAGCAATATAAATACCTATATACCATACTTTTCGAAAATAAGCATAATTTTAAGATAATTAAACATAGATTAATTAAGATTTGACGGAATATTAATAACATCATACATATTTGGAATTATACTTGTTTGATATTAAAAATGATAGAACAATTTAATTAATTCTCTACCACAATTAAATATTTAATTCCAATTACAAAATTTTCGACAATTTCACTTTTAATTTTGCCATATAAAATAAAGTGTTATAAACTTTTACTCAAATGCATTAATTTATGTGTTCCAATTTTTTTATGTATATATATAAAATGAGATTAACTCTTATACTATTGTTGCTATATTGTTTTTTTTTTTTTGCCCTTCATTTTAGAAAAATTTCATTTACGAAAAAAAAGAGAAGAGAAATGAAGAGAAAATTGGAGTATTCAATGTTTTAATACAAAATAGAAAATTTGATACAAATTGAAATTTTTAAGATTAAATATCGATAAAAATAAAAAACAAAAAAGCAAAGTAAAGTAACAAAACAAAAAAATTCTTCAAAATTGGAGCATCTTAGTTTACTTTTTTTAGTTTTGCAATAAAACGTTTGGTGGCCACTCATAACATTAAAGTACTTTAAATGCAATTTTCTTTGCTTTGTTTTTCTTTTCTTCTTCAAACATTTTAAGTTAAAAAAAACTAGTCTATTATTTATCTATATGCTATAAGAATAAAGAGAAAATGAAAAATTTGAGTACTAAGTACTTTTAACATTACAATATCGGGTCAATGAATTTTCCAATTACTTATTACTTATTTAATTTTTCTTATTTGTCTTTTTATTATTTTTGAATTTAGAAATTAGGTTATTTTTCTCTTATTTTTTTTTATATATTTGTTCTCATTCTTTTTTCTAATAAATATTTTTTTTTTAATTATTTGGGGCAAAGAAATAAAAATGTTTGTTTTAGATAAAATATAAATATATATGATATATATATGTGTGTATAGGCGATTTTGTTTATATTTTGTACTAAATTTGCAATGGAATATAGGTACATGCATAAATAGAATTTATTTAGTATACATACTTATTTATGTTCAAAAAAATGCAGCATTAAAATCTTTCGTTTGATTGATTAGTGATTATTTTTAACAATAATATTTTTATTATGTAGTTGAAAATGGAATATTTTCATATTTTTAATTTTATTGTTGATTTAAATTAAGTCTTGATTTTAAATAAAAATTTCCTTAAGGATTACTATTTGGAAAATTTTTTTTACAAAATAAAATTTAAGTAAAAGAATTTATTGTTCAGCTACTCATTGCAATTTCATATATTAAATTTTCTATTACATACACCAAAAGAACTTCACATAAGTCCCAACTATTTAGAAATTTTATGAAAATTCATGAAAGTAATCTTCAAAATTACAATATTCTTAAAATATTTTAAAATATGGTTGAAAAAGAAAGACTGAATTTCATCATATTAATATCAACGAAAAATCACTTTCTGCTTCAATTTTATTTGAATGCATTTCTTTTTTAACTTAATTCAGTGTTCAGCTCTAATTTCTCTTTCAAACCATCACCCAAATTGATTAATTTAATTTCAAATTCCCCAAAAAAAAAAAACTAATCAAAAAAATTGTAGGTGTATCAAAAATAAATCGAATAGTTAAAAAATTTGTTACAGATAATTATTTTGTTACCTTTATTTAAAAAAAAATTAAATTCAGAAAAAAAAATTTTTTAATTTTAACCTATTGTTAAAAAATTTCGATTTTCTCATTTATCATTTCTACCTTTTTTATTATAATTTTTTATTTAATTTTATGATAAAAATTCAAAATAAATTTTTTGTGTTTAGAAAAGTTTTAATAACACCAAAAAAAAAATTTAGACTTTATTATAATTAGGGAGATATAAAGAGAGAGAGAGAGAGAGCGAAAGAGAGAATGAGAGACAGTCGGTTTTCTTTTATTTATAAAGTATTATACATTTTTTTTTTTGCTGAATAAAAAATGAAAATAAGAGAAAGTTTGGCCCTGATTTCCGGTGAATCGCGCTTTATGTATACATACAAAAAAAAATTTTTTTGTTATTATTTTTTTTTTGCCTTTTTTTATTCAATTTTATAAAATTCAATTCATTTCAAATTATCAACCATATTTAAAACTCTTCTTCAATAAAAATCATCATCATCATCATTATCATCATCATTATAATATGGCAACAGTAAAATAACTCAATACTATTTTTTTTTGTGTTAAAGTCTGTCTGCCAGTCAAATTCAGTTAAATCAGTCAGTAAAATTTTATAGAAAAGTAAAATATCAATTTTCTTTTTTTTTTCTATTTCTTGTTTTTATTATTTTGATCTACTCTTATATTACATACATACATTCATTTATCTCTGTTTAATTTACAGCATACAATCAATCTGGTAGAAAAAAAAAATACTATATTAAATAAAAAATAAAAATAAAGAAAACAGAAGGTACCAAAAACAAAAAAAAAAATTTGTATGTAGAAGAAAAGCGTGTATAAGAAGGGTAAAAGTGTAAAAGAGATAGCGAAATCGATTATTTATATTATTATTGTTGTTTGTTACTCATGTATAAATTTTCACCTCTTTAGGGTCCAAAAAAGCAACTAAGTGACATGGAAACATAATGGAATTATAAAAATAATAATAAAAGCAAAAAACAAAATAAATAAAAATGATGAAAGAAAAAAAAAAATTTCTTTTTTATCTCGAAAAATTTAGGTTTTTAGTTCAACTTCTCTCCGAAACTCCAAAAAAAAAAACTTTTACTTTTCAAATATTTTTCATTTAATTTTTATTTTCTTGTTTTTTATTTTATTTCTTGCCATGTTTCTACTCACTCTTTTGACTAGATTACTTGTTTGTGTGTATGATTAACATTTGATTTTTTTTTTTATTTTTTCTTCCGCTATAATCATAAATTGGACTAGAGTAGACTTAGAGACTCAAATGAAATAATTTTGCCCATTTCTTTTTGCAAATTTTTATAGAAAAACAATAATAATAAAATGGGTTTTGAGGTATTGAATTGGTAATATAAATTTTTTAGAAAATGTAAATACTTAAACTCGTCAAGATACTAAATTGTGCTGAATAGCTTACATTTGAATTCATTCCTATTCAATTTTCAATTGAGTTGTGTATAACAATTAATTAAAATAAGGAATTTTGATCTAAAAATTAAATTTTTCAAAATTTTCAGAGTTTGCATTTATTGCATACTTTTGGGGGGCAAATATTGAGATTTTATCATTTTAAATGAAAAAATAAAATGGAAGACATGTTTAACAACAAAAGAGTTGAAAAATATGAAAAAAAAACATTAAAAAACTTGTATGAATTTATACATTACTTGCAATACACTTTACATTACAAATATTCATACATACTATTGACAACCTTTTTTTTTAAGAAACACATGTTCATCACCTTACAAATTTTTTTATCATCATCAGATATGTTGTATGAATATTCACAATTTTTATATTTTTTTCATTTTCATTTTTTGTTATATGCCTTGATACATTCTATATAAGTATAAAATACATACTTTTATACCTACATTATTTTATACAAGAAAATACGATGTAGAACAAAATGTGTACATTTTGTATACCATAAATATGTACATACTGTGAAGGCAATGACCTACTTACCAGTCAATCCAGTGATGCCTATAAAATAAAAATGGTTTTATTTTTTTTTTGTTGTTTTTATTATTGTCGTTATTTTTATTTTCATTTGCAATACATACTTTGTTTTGTTGGTTGCTCTTTGTCATATACACACAGTATTTTATATTAATTGTTTGTATATATACGAGTAATATTGTTGAAAACTTATATTTTAATTGAAATACAACACCATTATTAATCATAAGTAAAAAATGTTTTTAAAAAGTAAATCAACTTTTGAAAATGTAAAAGAAAAATGTAGAGTAAAATTTTGTAATTTTCCCTCGCTTTTATGGAAGAAGGGTCGGTAATTTCTTTTGCTTGCAAACATTTTATTATTTTATTAAAACCCCAAGAATGCATGAATAATAATTGTGAATTTTATTGAATACAAAGTGGGTACTTGTAAGTACTCTATATATGCCTATATTTTGTATGTATGTTGCGGTATAAATTATTTTTCTTTGTTCCAAATATTCGGTTTTTTTTTTGCGGTTTAATATTTCGTTATTGAAATGTCTGCTTTTTTAATTGAGAGGATAAATATCAGAACGGAAATGCTTTGAATTATTAATTAATTAATTCACTTGCATTATCCATGAGAGATAATTATTATACATAAAATGTATACATGAATTGCATTAATATTAAGTGCATTTAGGGAAGACTTTTAAAAATTCAAAGGCATATGAAATGCATTACCCATGATTAAATACAAGCAAGAATAAGGACACTAATTTTGTGTTTTTTTTGATAATATTCTTTCTCTCTCTCTTTATATTTTAGGGGATATTTGAAAGTTATTCTGTTGGCCTTCTATCACTTCCTCTTTTTTTTTTCGTTATAAATAAATGAAATTTTTATTGAACATAACGCATACTTACCTACTACGGTGTCATCTTATTTTATTAAAATTAAATGAGCATTGCATAGTATTAACAAAATGAGTCATCAATTATATTTTACTTGTATTGAAAACAAAAAAGAAAACATATGAGGCATGTAAAATGACAGATGGTTTTTTTTTTCAAATTTTATTAATAAAAAAAATGGCAAAGTATTAAAACAGGCGTTAAAGTTCAGCTGATAAAATAAAAATTTTTTTTTACAAAAATTTTCTACAAAATAAAACTGGTTTTTCTTCTCTCATATTTTTTAATTTTAATTCTATCAGGTTCAGGTAGTTTTATTGTAGATTTAAATTTGTGAATTTTGCTCTATTTTTTATTTTATAAATTTACATAATAAAGAGAAAAAAAAATTTTTTTAAAATATTTTTTTTTGTACTGCCAAGTTGCAATTATTTATCACTTTATGACTTTTAAATTTTGTATAACAATTTGTATATCAAATTTTACTAAATTGGTTTTTCTTTTTGTTTTTTCTTTTTTGAAAAAAATTGCAGCTGTGCGATTTGGTCGTGTACCAAAACGCGAAAAAGCTCGTATATTAGCTGCTATGCAACAAAGTACACAAAATCGTGGCCAACAAAGACAATTAGCAACTGAATTGGATGATCAACCGCGTTTATTAGCAGCTGTATTACGTGCACATATGGAAACATGTGAATTTACAAAAGAAAAAGTTGCAGCTATGCGTCAAAGGGCACGTGAATGCCCTTCATATTCAATGCCAACATTATTGGTGAGTTTTTTTCTTAAATTTAATTTACTTATATATTAACTATATTTACTATTTGTTTTTTACTTATACTTATTTATTTACATATATACCTACATATAACCATTAAAAAATAAATGATAAATTTAATGAATTTAAATACCCAAATTACTGAATTTATGTGTGAGTCTGTATGAGTAAGTCATGTTTGTATGGAAATGTTCAAAAAGAATGGAAAATTCAAAATGTCTTTTAAACACATTGTACTTAATATGAGTTTTATATTATTATGATATTAAAATTTTTCGATGTAGGGTTTTTTTAATTTACAAAAAAAAAAAGTGTTATACAAATGTAGTGGGAAATGTTAAAGAAAAAGAGAGAGACAGAGAAAGAGAAATATGAATGTATATTGTAGAAGAAGAAGGCGAAGAACAAACAAAAAATATAAAAAGGTTAATTTTAATATTTTTTGCGTGAGTTCATAATGCCCACATTAAATGCACACAGAATACAATTTTTATTGTTCGTATGTACAAATGTACATATACACATTATTCTTATTATAATTATTATTCATATATACAATCATACATTTATGATGATTGGAATTTAAGGTTTTTTCTTAACTTATTTTTCTTGAAAACAAAAATAATTTAAGTTTTTAAGATTGAATTGAAACGAGAATAAGAAAATAATAAGAAAAAAAAAATTTGTATTTTATATGAGGAAATCTACATGTTCAATGACTTTTTTTTAGAATTAAAATAAAAATAAAATAAGAAACGCGAAAATGTGATATGATATGGCGATGACAATAACTAGACATACTCGAACATATATAGGTATACATACAAAAATGTTAACATGAACTTGTAGGTATGATTAGTATAAGGTGTCTTTTTTGTGATTTTTGTTTTTTTTTTGGATAAATATCTAAAGTCACAATATAAGGACAAATGAATTATCGCTTAATTTCATTTCTGTTATTGCTTTCATTTAGTACTAAAAACATATTGAAAACAACAACAAAAACTGTAAGAAATAATATTAACATAAAAATATTTTTTACTCTTAACTTTGAATTTCAATTTGTGTGACTTGAGCATTAAAAAATTAAAATTTTTTCATAATAATATTACAAAGTTTTATTTAATGGATTTTTAGAGTTAATGAGTTTTGTTTTTCTTTTATTATTATTATTGTTATACAATTTTAGTTATACCCAAATGAATGTGTTCCAAATTTTGTACAAACATTTTATTATTTTACATATATTGTAAAAATAATTTTAATTATTATTTGTATGATTATTAAAATACAAGTTCAAATTGTTATACAAAAATATAAAGTTTTTAGTGTTACTTTAAATTTTGAAATAAATAATTAAATGCCATTTAAAAATTTTGTGCATTCAAAATAAAAAAAAAAACAAAATGGAGCATTTCATGTCGTGAACGAAAATTTTTGTTTTCTAACACTTTTTTATATACTTGGACCTCGCCAGAATTAGTTCAAGGTTAAATTTATATTATTGTTATACCGGTTATGAAAATTTTTTGGAAAATATTTATTTTGTTATATTTTGTGTATATATAATTAAAGGCACTTATAATTTTAATAGTTAAATTATATTAATGCAAACGAATTATAGAATATGAACAGCATACATATATATTTTAAAATATCAGCATATTTACACAATAATTTAAACATTATGCATTAATATACAAATTAATTATATATACATAATTAGTTATATACATGAAATAAAATTTAATTACTCAATTTTTCATAATAATTTCTTGTTGCCATTTAATTTTTATAACTTTGACATTAATAAAATATTTTCTTAAATACATACATTCACAACAATTGAGTATAAAATGTCAAATTATATTAATTTTTTGAATATTTTGCAACAAGCTCCTATATATATACACACAATTTACGCACAAAATATTTATTAAAATAAAAAAATTTTTTCAAGCGATAAGAATGCGCATGTTCTTAATTTTTTTTTTCGTTATTCTTAAAATGTATACAAAATATTATTAACAAAATTTATTAGGTTATGGAGGCATACCTTAACTATGTTTTTGTTATATTTTAAAAATTTTTTTAATAATTAATAAAAATATTTATTTAAATGAGAAATTTTGAATCTCAAAATTTTGTTTTCCAACTAAAATAAAAAATTAAGTGTGTGACAGACATTTTAAGCACAGGGAAGCGAAATCTTAGTTGTAAGCGTTTGTCAATTATCAATTTAATTAAGTAAATACTCGATAGAGTAAATGGGCCTCTTTAGAATATTTGATATTCAAGGTTCAAACGACATATTTTAGAAATTATGAAAAAATAAAAATTTTAGAATTAGGTCATTTTTTTTTATTAAAAATAAATAATTCTTAAAAGGTGTAAATACTTTTTGTATATTTATTTTTTGTCTAACAATGGCTCGAAATTTTATTTTATGTTTAAAGGGGGGAAAATATCCCTTTGAATTGAACAATCATCGTCATTTTTAATAGATTTTTTTTTATAGTTAACAACCTTTTCATGTGGTAATAAAATTATTATTTCATATTTATTTTTACAATCAAATATTCATACATACTTACATGCTAGTATACATTAAAAAAAAGTTTGTCATTCGCTGCTAAGCAAAAAGAGTATAAACGAGTACACACCTTTTCTTATCAATTTTTTTTTTGCTCCAAAATATGTCGAACCTGTTTAGAAAAAAAAAATTGTTCATTTTTTGTTTTCAATTTGTTTTCAATCAATATAACCGTTATCAGCATATTTTTTTTTTTTTAAACATTTGTCATTGGCCTTGAAATTGTGTATTTTTTCTGTCATAAAAAATAAGAATTTTATCAAATCGCTAACCATAAACGTAACTAACAAAAAAAAATATATTAATATTAAAAAAATATTGTCTTACCAACTTACCGTTGTTCTACATCTACTATCAATTAACCAAAAAAAAACAAAAATAAAAAGTATTGCCACAATGCAAATTTTGGGTGACAGCCAAGAAAAACGCAATTTTTTTCTCTCTTATTTATTTTTCTTACTATTTTGTTGTCTTGTTAATTTTTTCTTCCGCATTCTATTCATATGGAAATGTCATTGATAGCAATTATTGTGTGAATTTTTTACTCGTATACGCATATTTTTGCCATTCAAACCATACAATCAAATCATTGATATAAAATTCATGTTTGTATGTAAGTATCAATATTTTACACACTTTTTCTTCTTTTCTCTTATACAAATAAAGTATAGAAACGGATCTTAAATTGAACTTTTACGAAATTGTTAAACATAGAAAACACTCGCACATACAATTATGCGCCATACCATATAATAATGACATTTTCTTTTTCTTTTTTTTTTATGTGCATTTCACTTATTATTTTTTGTTTTCATTGATTTTTGTTATTGTTATTATTAAATTTTTAAGCTCATTTTAATTTATGCAGAAAAAGAAAGTTTTTCTTTCTCTTTCTTATTTCTCTGATTTTTTATTATTTGATTAGATGTATGAGTAAAAGATACAATCATTTTTTGTTTTCTTTTTTTTCGTTTTAAATGCGAGTAACACTATTATGATTTATTTTAAACTTTTGATTTTAATAAAATTTATTATTTGTTTATACTTATGTTACATAGTGTATTTTAATATTTGTATTCATTTAATGCATGAATAGATACGCTCATTCAAAAACATGGAGTTATAAAATGAACGTGCAGAGTGTGTAGTATAACAGAAAAGGATGTAAACTGTATTTTCTAATATTGCAATTCGTTAGTCTTATAATATCATGTCATCCTTCAGAGTACTATTTTCCTCTTTATAGTTTACATGGATTGGAATATGGACAGTACGGAGTCATTGAATAAGACACACCTCTATTGAAATTTGTATGTGAATATGAAGAAATGACATTTTGTTTTATAAAAACAAAATGTCATACACTCTGGATTTCAATGCAATTAATACTCTCTCCTGTCATCTCGTGTACTACAAACATCATCTCTTTTTGCATATACTCTGTAAAGTGTATAATATAACAGAAACTAAATTTTTCTATAAATAACAACCAATATATATATATTTATCTCTTTTACTCTTAGATCTTTATTTTGGTTTTGTTTAGTTTGTATCTGAAAAAAAAAAAATAAAAAAGAAATTAATATTAATTTATTTTCACATTTTTAGTAAACACAACAAAAAAAAACAAAAGAAAAACAAAAAAAAAATTAAGAAAATTTTTTTTGTTATTGTTATTTACTTAATTAAAAATTTTATCAGGTCGTCACGTCGTATATTTTTACAACTCTTTCAATAAAATCTACTATGTACTTGTTAACAAAAAAAAAGTATAGATATTTTGCTCCAAAGTGAAAAATAAAAAATAACAAAAAAACAGTAAGAAAAAAGAAGAAAATCATGATTTGAACTGGTTGTAAATGGGGGCTTTATGCTATTTTATGGTGAACCAAAATTGAACACACGTTGTTTAACTTTTGTTAATGTGTTTGATGTCGCTTTAATCTCACTCTCTTTTATAACAACAAACATGTTTTAATGTTTTGTTATATGGAACAACGGTAACATGTTTATAGAGTTTTGTATTTTTTTTTTTTGTTATACAAAAAATAGTTTTGCGGTGTTTTACTTATGTATTGTTGTTGTTTTTTTAATTATTTTTTAATATTTTTTTTATTTCTATGTGTGTAATTTTCACATCTTCTTTACTTTTGTTTTTTTTTTTCATACATTTTAATATTTAGTTTTAGATTTTTGTTTTTGTTTATATACCTGTGCCAATATGATATTTTTAAATTCAATTGCATTTTTAATGTAAAAATGTAGGTAGAAAAAAATTTGTGTGTGTATAGTAAAAGGTGGGTAGTGGATCAGTTGGTTAGTTAAGTTTGGTGTTTTTCTTTATTGTTGTTATTTGTTATTTTTGTATTATTTTTGTTTATTTTGGTAGACATACTTATGA